ACTTGGCTTGATTTAACGCCAACCCCCCCCCTTTTTTTTCCCGATTCTTTGAGACAAAGTTAATGTTCTTTGAAAAAAAATCTTCCAAAGAGCGTCAATATCGACCATATTAACGCACTTTGAAAAAAAGAACATGGATCGGTCCATACATCTATATATTTTAGGGTCTTCTTATAGATATTTTTATATTATTTTATATATATTTGATAAATTATTTAATAAATACATGTATGTTTATTACCGTAAATATGATTGCTTTTTAAAGAGTTATTTGATTAGTATTAGGAGGTTTGAGAAATTAATATTTTTATGCATTTTATACATTTTTATGTTGTATATTATTTTGTAAAGCTACTTTGGATAAAATATACCAGTAGTTAGTTGGCTATTGCTGCTGAGATCAGCAATATTGTCCCAGAGCATTTCTCCATTAACATAATAGGGTGCGTTTTTTTCAGGGACGTTTATCTCATCTACTTACTAGTATTTTACGTTCAATCAAGTTCGTTGAGACAAAATAAAGTATATCAATGTTACACGAATTATGTAAATACATATTTTTGGGTATGGAAAATAGTTTGGTTGAGGAGCCTATTAGCTGTCTTATCCTCGTTCTCTATGAAGATAGATCAATTTACCAGTTTTCGTAAGAAATATAACAGAATTATGCAATCTGTTACTAGAATCTCAGTCCAAATTCTTCGTTTTATATTTTTTCAAAGTCACTGTCTTTCACTGCTCAATGGCCCTGAGTGCCGAGCATAGGGCAAAATTTGCAGCTCTCCACCGGCAATAGGTGGCGTCTCCATATGAGTGAAAAATTCTCGAGATGGACGTTTAACAACATACAATCAATCAATCAATCAATAAATCAATCAATCAATCAATCAAAGTCACTGACAGCATAAAGTGTCTCCGTGGTTAAAAAATGTTGATGTAAACTCTTAAAATTCACACTATGAAATTTATTTTCGTACGTTTTGATTTTATTTTAGTAAAATTTTGTGATTTCAATTTTCTGGAGTTTTTAAGTATCCACATCTAGTTAACACCATTTCTCGAATAAACTATTACAGTTTACCCCAGGTAAATCGCGAAATAAAGTCGTCGCGAATAAAAGTTGGTTTGCAATATATATATTTTGGTGATGAGCAAATAAAGAGGCTTTGTAGAACTTTTACTGGAACCCGCTATGCATCTTCGTTTTTAAGGATTATTATGGTATTTTTGAATCCAGTACGGGTACCGTTAAAATTTATTTTGATTGTTGGGAAATTGGAATATTCAAACTATTTTAAAACTAACCCATGGTACTGAAGTATTTCCTCCTTAGAAAGTGAGTTGGTACTATGGGAACAAGTTTGAGTACACCACTTCCAAAATTAAATTCTAGTTCCTCTTAAGTAGAATTAATATAATGAAACTTACAAACATAATGCTGTTACCTGCTTTGTCAACATGGACCAGTATATATTGATTATGTAATCTATTTTTATTCTTGTTTCACTTTTGTATTATCTAAGACAGAAGCATAGATAGTTGGCCTCAATCGCCTAATGACAAATTTAAACATTCCTCTGATACATATAATCATTTCTGACAGTGTCAAGGTCCTCCTTTTTCATATTTTGCCCATCTTTCTTCGTAATCTTCTACAGGATTCATGTAATATTTATGAAATAATGAAACAGTTGAAAGTGTGTTTCCCTTAACGTATATATCGGGGCGATTCCATTAATACTCTGGAGAGAAACTTTTTTTCATTAGACAAACGTGCCTGAAGGATGTATTTCTTTGCATTTCAAATATTCAAACATCTGAAAGTACTATAACGATGGAATAGTTAAATCATTGATAGAATTGCAGGATTTTACCTCATCAGCAGTAATATGATAATCAACAAATGTAACTATAAAACATATTTGGTGGAGAAGACAACAGATATCCTTTTTGTAGTTTTCCTCTTGTTTTTCAGTTTAAAACTCTTAATGAAAAATATGAAGATCACAAATAGTATTCAAGCTCAAAAGCCCATTAAACTATACAATTCAGAGGCAGAGCAAACACGGACCTTTAAAACATCAAAGGTAGGATCAGGTCCCATGAAGGAGTGAGCATCTCCTGCCGACCGGTCACACCCAGCGTTTGCTCCTTGTTATGATCGGGAAATAACGGAAAAATCCATCGTCAACTCAGTGTGTAATTAATGTTTTAACATATTAGTATGAAAAACATCAATCAGTATTTGACTTAATGGTATATTATATTTGCTGACAAAGCCATTGTATCTACCATAAATGATACATAACTTACAAAATGATGACTTTAAACGAGACTGTTAATATTCTTGTTTCATTAACTTGTTTTACCTCGTTTTAGAAAGTAACGGAAGTTGTCGATTGAAAAATTGAAGTCATCACGATTATCATTAAGCTTTCTTGTTAGGTTTAGTACCATTATCGACACTATTCTCTCGACATTTAGATATATCGATAACACATTGTCAATTAGCAATGGTTATTTCCATTCTTATGTCAATACGATATATCCCGGTGAGGTTGAGATAGAGGATACCACAGAGTCTGACACATCTGTTTGATATTTGAATATTTTAATTGAAAAAGACGTTAATGGTAATCTAACAACCAAGTTCTATGATAAACGTGATGACTTTAACTTTTCAATCGTCTGCTTCCCTTACTTATACAGCAATATACAGATATACCTTCATTACCTGCATACGGAGTTTATATCTCTCTCCGTTGATTCAGTACGCAAGAGCATGCTTTATGTATGTACAATTTCTAAAACGGGGTAAATTATTGACAAAAAAGTTGATGAAACAAGTTGACTAAACAAGAATATCAACAGTCTCATTTTAGAGTCATCACTTCGTAAATTCTATGGTCGATTCAATGACCTTGTCAGTAAATACAGATTATCATTGAGTCAAATGCTGACTGACTTTTTCATACTAAATTGTTATTCCATTTATTGCACACTGAATTGACGATAGATTTTTCCCGTTATTTCCCGATCATGACAAGGAGCACACGGCGGATGCGACCGGTCTGCAGGAGATGCTCATTATTCCATGGCACCTATCCCACCTCTGATGTTTTGGAGGTCCGTGTTTGCTCTCCTCCTATATGTTTTGTATGTTTTATGGACTTTTGAGCTTGAATACTGTTCTTTATCTCCATATGTTTAACTTTAGAAAAGTGGACAGATTTTGGCCTACATCCACTTGGGTATTATGTGAATGTTATAAAATATATAAGAATATTATGTACAAACACAACGATATTATTCAGATGTGAGTACTTTCTAATAATTGCTTCGAATGACAAATGCCCAAACAATTTTTGAACACTGAAAAATTGACGAGAGCCTACCAATCTCTTCAAATTTTAGCAAATTAATCTTGCTTTTTAGACAACTACCATACATTTCACATAATACCACCCATTCATCTTAGTCAGTGAAAATAAATAGACAAAGCATCGAGAAAACATTTCTGTCAATTCCAGAGTCTATTTTTGCACTCTTGAAATGAACCCTTTATTACCCCTTTTGACCCATGAAGTTGACCCATATATCGAAGTTATAAACTCATTTTTCTGCGCAATTAGCTTTTCATAAAAAGATCTGAAAAGAACTTTTATCTCCACGTCCTTTCTACAATAAAAATCACACAATATTCATTTATATGGTGTTTAAAATTTTCCAATTAATTTATCTAGCTACCTTTTTATCATGTGTATTGCAGGTGTTGTCGATAAAACTCGAGATAAAATCTGTGCTACTTAAAGTAATCAATTAATGGTTATATAATTTTGATGTGTCAATTTTCTTCGCGCAATAAAATAACTATAATGGGTTATTGACAATTCAATTACTAGACGATATCCAGTCAATTTAGCTACTGCTTTTTTTACTCCTGTTTTGGTAGTTGTTTTTTTTTTATATTGACTTAGATCGCCATTGCATGACGAGTCTCACATACGGGTACATTTTAATATAATTACCACTTGCAAAAGCAGTTTTTTGAGTGTCTTTTTAATATTCGTATAACAACCTCTTTTAACAAATTGCTTTGTGAATAATTGATTTTTATAACATATTTCCCAGATAGAAGTCCATTGAAATTCAAATTACAAATTTAATGATTGATGAAAATTTCGTGCTATCACCAACCAGATGTAAAGAATTGACCATAAAGTTTTGTGAATATACATAATCACGTGGTATCTTGTATTTTAATGCTAAACATTAAGATTGATAGATTTTGCCGAAATTTATACACATTTGGCAGCCATGAAAGAAATCTTGGGTTTCGTTTCAAATTCTAGAATTGGATGTATTTTTAACAACTCTTTCAGCAGGGAGTTAATGATGCTACAGATTTTTCCGAGATTTCTATCAGCTTCCTCCCAATATCGATAAACATCTTGTAAACTATTAGTACATACCGTGAAAAAGCAAGCGTTATACCGTTGCCACGTTGGCATGCTAGCTTCATAGCAACACATGTTTCCGGTGACATTTACGACAAGATTGAAAAGTATATTACACTATAATTGAAAGATTTACGGTCTTGGTGAAGCAATGTACCCTAAGACAGAACTTCTAATTAGTTATATGTGAATATCTCTGTCAATAACCAGGACTTTTGCTCACTGTTTCGGGTAATTTTCAAGTTCCATGAAAGTTATCTTAATTGAAGCTGCTCTCTAATTTGCTCATTTTCGTCTGTGCGTTACCGATTTTCATTTTTCTCTTTTACGTTAATTGCATTCAAAGACAGCTTATTTTTCAACAACACATGTTAACATTTGCTTTGGCAGCAATTCTGGCAGCAATTTTAGTTATGTTTTGGTAATTGCATATGTTTAATATAAATTCTCCTATAGTAAATGCACGAAAGGAGTGAAAATGAGTCGATCTATAGATTAAAAAGAGGAAAAAGAAACTAGATTGTCAGCAGTCGAACAGTTCATTAAATTATACTGAGTTGATACAGATAACAGTGTTACTGTAGACCAGTCATCTTCTCCCAATTTTCTTTACAGAACAGATCATAACAATTACAACAATTTCAAAAGAGAAAACAGTACGCAATTGGAGGGTATTTTAAAAAAGTTTTATTGCAATGATTAGCAATGGGATATTTTGATGTTAAAAAAGTTAATTACTTAATATATGTGCGAATTTTCAGAAAAATTGGACCGTTGAACAATATCTGATATTTTAGATCTACTTTCAATTTGAATTTTGATCCATATAAAAAGCACTGGGTTCTATGGACAAAGTCACATGCATGCTTAAATTTAAAGATAACGTCTTTTAAATGACTTGTCGATCATCTCGTGAATACAATTAAAGTATAGTATTAAAAATCCTATCCATTGATGGTTTTAATATCTGTGGTATACTGCCCTTCAAATTTAGCTTTAACATTTGACCGTTTGAACGTGACATTTCATTTTAAATACAATTTAAGTTTATTATAAATTCAGGAAAGATAGACATACATGTAGACCAAACAATCATATGTGATAAAAGAGACGATGAAAAATGAAAAAAAATTGCACAGCAAATTCCTACAAAAAAATTAACAAACGATGAACTTATAACAGCGTTTATTGAATATCATTTTCGTCCCGGCAGACCAGGCTTCAAGCAATGACAAGCGTCCCCTCCCTGTTGATTGGCACAGAGGAAGTCGCACAGGTCGGTGGTGGTCCTGAGGGCTGGAGTGAGAGTGGTGGCGGCGGGGGTGGTGGTGAAGTGGTGATTCAGATGATGGGGATGTTGTGTGTGTGTGTGGGACCGCACCAGCATCTGTGCTGTAAATAGAAAGAAGGGTGTCAGTTACTTCACTACTTCAAAAAACAATAAAAAGAGGCCCATGGGCCTAAATTCTCATATTAATCATATTATCATATCTCTGTTGTTCTTCATGGGATTTTGATTGTTTTTGTTCCCCTCATCATTTCCATGGTTCATATGCAAGCAAATTTATTTAATATAATTAAACACCATTGGATTCTTCAAAACCAATATGACATATATGGCTTAATGTTATTGAGAAAATAAAATATCTGAGAGATTCGTTTTCTTCATGGATGTAATATGTAAAATCAGTCCATATTTTGCCCCTTCCCACTACCCAAGGGTTCATAATTTCTAAATTAACATCTTTAATCCACACAACTTGGAACATCTTGAGTATTTATATTTAGTGTAAATGCTCCTTAAACCAATAAAAATGTAAAATTAATCTATTTCCTATAAATTACCACTGAAAAGTTTTTGATCTATCGTTGCCCGATTTACTCCCCATTCGCCAAGATTTTAACGGATTTAATTGACATTATGTGAAACATACCTTTTTCATAAAAATAAATATAAACGAAATGCATAGTTTCAGATTTTTTATCGTTAGTTTCCTTATCAATGCTATCATCATTCATCTGCATATGGTTCGTACAACTTTCAGCTTATTCGATACTCAGGAGCATGCTCTGAGTGCGATAACTTATTAAACAGAGTCAGTTTACTGCAGATAAGTTGGTGCCAGATTTCAACAACTCTTTTTAAGTTATTACTTCCTTTTTTTGTCTATACAATGACCTTGTTCGCAGATATACCCTATCTGGTCGATTTGGTTCAATTTCCTTGTAAGGCCTTTGTTTTATACTTTTGATTACGGAATCTTCCTTCTACTTGATCAATAATAGGGTTTGGGCGGATGTGACCGGTTAACAGGGGATGCTTACTCCACCTAGTCATCTAATCCATCCTCTAGTTTATTCGAGGGAACGTGATCATGTCTCGTTCACACATATGTATTGTACGTAGGTTTTCGTTAAAAATATTTCAAGTTCATCGGGATATTTTAGTGTCTTATAATATGAGTAACTATTGTTAATTGATGATATTAATTTTGCTTATAAGAACTCAATTACCTCTTTTTTTCCCCTTTTTAAAATTATTTTTTTATATAATTCACTATATCTTCATTATTTTTGTAAAAAAAAATATGCAAGTACCCCTTTTTTCAATTATTCGAATCAGGTTAGAAAAAGGACACATACAGTTTACAGCTACCCAGCGAAACAACTAGATCAACCACGATACGCTATAGCAAAGTGGAATTCAGATTACTAATTCCATTGAAGAGGGCTGTTTTTTTCTTATTGTAATTCAATTACCCCCCTAAAATAACGCCTCTATGAAGCAAACAAAATAAATAAGAAAATGAAAAATATATATATATAAACATATAAATAGCAAAACCAGAAAATTAGAAAAAATAAAATCGGAAATGATAATTTGAATGAAATATGGAGATACTAGACAATTTCAGAAGTCTATTGAAACAATACAAATCAATATGGAGAAACACTGACATTTAAAAATACAGAAGTGGGATCAGATGCCATGAAGGAGTAAACATTCCCTATTGACAGATCACATTCTCAGCGAGCCTCTTAGAAAATCCGTAGACAAATCATTGACTAGTATGAAAAACGTCAGTCGGCATTCCACTTTATTATAAATTGCATTTGCTAACAAGGTCAATGTTCGAACAAAGAACCTGCGAAATGTGGATTTTAAACATCAAACAAGAATGATGCTATTCTGTTTCGTCAAATTGTTTGTCATGCCCGTGCGTATCGAATAAACTCAGAGACATAAACCCCTTTTGCAGGTGATAAGGGTATATATTGCTACATAAGTAAGTGAAGTTGACGATAGAAAAGTTAGAGTCATCACGTTTATCATAGGGTTTGTAATGTTATAATTAACTACTATGATATCCAAATATGAATTAGATGTGTTAAACTCATGAAAGGAAGTGTTGTCTCTTAACGTTTAAATCAATTAACTTTGTTAAAAGAAGCCACTTTTACAGAATAATTGGGAATTCTAAAACACACAATTTGTCACATTTTGCTGTATGAAATATAAGGATACAATTAACAGAGTTCGAACTCAAAAATCCACTAAACAATACAAGTCAGGAGCAGAGAAAACACGGACCTCTCAAACATCAGAGGCGGGATCATGTGTGCAAAAATTACAAACTTTTATTAAATCTAAACTAGAAATCAATTAGAAATCAATTATACTTAATTCTACATTAAATGTCATAATTATATTCTTGCAGGTAAAAACATTAAACAAAGTTTAATTTTTATTATTTGCTACTAATTTTAGTAATGTATAATATGTTAACTTTTTTACATGTATTTTCAGACAAGAAAATAACCTATCACAGGATCGAACTTAGGCTAATTTGTTTCATACTTAGGCCATTCCAAGTTTCTTCTATGTTTAGCGTCCACGTGCGCCTTGGATTTTGACACCCAATATCAGAAAAAACAAACAAAATCAGAAGACCCGATATTGATTATTCTGGTCGAAATCTTTGAATTCTATCATGTCCTGTTATAATCTGTCTTCAATTTTTCATATTTGGTATATTTTGAGCATTTAGTACATGGATTTTTCTAAAGTATAGATCTAGAAAGGAGAAAACATATTTTTTTGAAATCAAATCCTTTGAATGACTTTACTTTTATGACTATAATGTCTGTGTTTTCTTTTTTGGTCTGTGTGTTTTTTGCGAATAGGTACGTAGGTTTTTGAAAGATGGGTGGACGCTAAACATAGAAAAAACTTGGAATGGCCTTATTGTATGGACTTTGTTATTGAATAAAATTTGACTACGTAATGTTCTGATTACTCGATCAATGCGCGAGGCTTACGGCGAGTGTGACTAGTCAACAGGGGATCCTTACCCCTCCAAGGTACCTGATCCCAACTCTTGAATACCAGGGGTTCAAAATTACACCCTGTTAACAAATCTTTATTGCTTTAGTTTTAATGAGATTGTCTGAACTTTTTGATTTCTTACTAGTATATGAAATTCAAACAAAGGAGGTTCATGCTTAATTTAATGCATGTACATTTAAAGAAATTATTGTTTGCTAGTTTCCATGTGCTAGTTTTTTTTTTAATTTTTTTTTTTAATTTTTTTTTTTATAAAGAAACTCTAATTTTATGGTATTTCTATATTTAATTGTTGTTTTATTTTAAAATTTTGAAAAGGGCCGTAATTCTGATATCGTGACAGGAGAAATGTATGATATTAATTAAATTTGAAAGCCTCTCACCTCTTAAAGCATTACAGTCACAGCCTGCCACTTCATTATCAGCACCAAAAGACAAATCACATTGCAGAATACAGGCGGTAGAAACAGGATCCACCCCTGAAACTTGTAATGTGGATCCACAAAGCAATAACGCCACCACTGTGAGAGCTGTTGACATGGTCAAGGAGAGGCTAGGAATATAATAGTTCTCAGGTGAGGATCGTGATACGCTAAGGTCACACTATTACATGTGCATAAGTACAAATTACAATTTAGAAAGAAAACGTGACGATTAAAAAAAATTGATTAAAGATAGAGAACACTGTGGCACTGATTTCAAACAGAAACGATGATAAGCATCCTCTGAAGCATCATCACAAATATCAGAAAAATAAAAATACATTAATTTGTTTTAATACAAAGAAAAGATATTTTCTATAAAATAATGCTTAATCCAGTTATTGATGTCTTGCTGTAAACATGTCGTCATGCAAGAAACATTGTTGAAAGTTAGATTATATATGCAAAATTTACTCACCCCTTTACAATTTTTTTTTAAATATTTAGAGAATGAAAAAAAAGTTTTTTAAAGACCTAATTCCGAACGCTGTGTGGTATTCTTGATTCAATTCTAAATGAGATACAGTCTTCAAGTAGTGACAATCTACCTGGGGATATCACCAGAAGAACCATGGTACTTGTCTATTAAACCTCTACATCTGAAGTGCATATCATTGTCCAATCGATAAAAAGATTAGACAAAAAGGGACAATATGAAGTAAGCAAACACTTACTTTTGATTTAGACCATTTTGTGCTCTAAGTCAACACTTGATGACGTAGATCCTTTGAAGATTGGATATCGTGATTCTCCGGGAGATAGAGATTCGTCCATCCCGAGATATGGAGGTTGACAAGGTCAAAAGTCAGGAAGCTTATCAGGTAAGACTGTTATTATATAGATATAATGGGATTTCTTCTGTAAATATCAGATGTAGTGATTCACGCATTTAAAGGGTGTTTTTGACAAAATGTGCGCATCTTGATTAATCATATGTTTTCAAGTGTCTCAAAATACACTTAAATTGAGCAAATAATTTTCCCTGCGATAAATTAAAGTTCAGGCTTTTTTTAACATCATAAAGACTGTTACTTCTTTCATTAAAATGGTACTTGTAAAATCTACCTTTTTATTGGTCATTTGCAAAAACATTTTGTTTAAAATCATTCTTACTGTATACACAATTAAGTAGAATGAAGTTAATATTCAAAAGAAGCAAAAGTTTCTGATTAACAATATCCATGTAGTTTTTACAGACATTCCAACATTCCGTCGAAATTCACATGGATACCAGTTGTGCCACTACATGTAAAAAGGCTTCATCTTTAACATGTTTAATGGGCGTCATAATTTGTTAAATATTATGGATTCTGTAGAAGACTATGCCAGGCGATGGGCAAGACATGAAAAAGAAGAACTTGATACATTGTCAGAATGGATTAAATGCATCATATGTTTGTTAAAAGCTCGCATTAAGCGATCGAGGGGCAATATAAAAACCTTCTATCCTTCTATTTTTCAATAATTCAGAAGTGAAAAGAAATTGATAGATTACATGATCGATATCTACTGGTCCCTGCTGACAAAGCAGGTAACAACATTGTCTTTGTTTGTAAGGCTCGTTATTTAAATTATATTTTAGTCGAACTGGGATTTAGTTCTACAAGTGGTAATCTAAATTATATCCATAGCTCACTTTCTAAGGTGGACGTTCTTCAAACACATAGGTCAGCTTTGATTATTTTTGATATTCCCCCAAACCAAAATGAATTTGAATTATCTTATCAATATTAGATTCCAAAACTTCATAAAAATCCTAATAGCCAAATATACATAGTGGGTTCCGGTAAATGTTCTACCAAGCCTCTTTACTTACTCCTCGCTAAAATGTTTACAGAAGTGAAGGAGAAACATCGAAAAATTCAAAAGTACTGTGCATTAATATATCTTCGAGAAGTGGTGTAAATCAAATGTGGATACTTAAAAATTCCAAAGGAACGTTAGGAAAATATGGAATTTAATTTTGCAAAAACCAACAACATAAAAAGTAACGTGAACGAATTTCAACTTTATATATATACAACCATTCCTCACGATAATTTAAAGTCCAGCCTTTTCATATCATTGACATCTCCTATTTTGATAAAAATAGAACTAGTAAATTTACTTACCTTGTCATTAGACATTCGTAAAATTACTTTGTTTTAAAAAATCTTATTGTACACACAAATACTCTGAAGTTGATATCAAAAAGATGATGTAGTTTCTAATTGACAATATTTGTGTGGTTTTTTGAGACCAGGTCTTCCACAATCTATTGGAATTCGCAAGGGTACCAATTGCGCCCTGTTATAAGCACACATATTTTTGTATTCATATGAAGCAAAATTTTATCCAACTCATACGTGAAAGGAAAAAAAAAAACTTGTCGTGGTATTCAACTCGATATTTAAATGTTTTCAATTAACAATGGTTATTTCCATTCTACCGACACGATATATCCTGATGAGCTTGAGATAAAAGATACTACAGAGTCTGACACATCTGTTTCATATACTTGAAAAAGAAGTTAATGGTAATCTAACAAACAAGCTCTATAATAAACGTGATTACTTTAAATTTTCTATCGTCAACTTCCCTTACTTATGCATCAATATAGCCTTCATCACCTGCATACGGAGTTTATATATATATCTCAGTTGATTCGATACGCAAGAACATGCTCTTCGTATGAACAATTTCTAATACGAGGTAAATTATTGACAAACAAGTTTATGAAACAAAAATATCAGCAGTTTCGTTTAAAGACATCATTTCGTAAGTTCTATGGTCGATACAATGACTTTGCAAACAAATTATGTTCAGTTAAATGCTGACTGAAGTTTTTCATACTAAATGTTGAGCCATTATATACACATTTAACTGACTGTGTGAATTTTTTCCCGTTATTGTAAATTTGTTTAATGTAGTTCAACTAAAATGAGTGTTAGATACTAGACTGTGAATTTGTGAGGTCCATGAAAAGAACTATATGTTAGTTTATGTTTTAATGCAATCATTTTAAAACTTCAAATTTATATAGATTGCACTTTAAGTTTTAAGTGGTAATGAAATGTCATTGTACCAGCTACGCCATTCTTCACGTCGATCGTATATTTTACTGGTATCTTGACATACAGTATCCTATCTGCATTTAGATATTATTATTTGCATCATCATGGCATGGGAAGTAACTTAATCGTCCGATTTTAATTGCCTTTAAATGACAACAAAGCAGATTAAATTTTCACTTCATATATAGTCGCTATGTTTAATTATGGACAATCTGGAGATAAAATGGACGGGACATAACTTGATTTTGGAGCCGAAGAGACGACACGAAAGCTATAAAATATGTTATATGTAAATTTGAAGCACTAAATTTCTGACATTGCTACCCCCTATTAAAACGTACGATGTTTCCTATTCTTTTGTGTTTTGCTTTATATTTTTTGCAGCAGTGTGGCTTTTAACAGAACAGAAAACGATCCATTCCTCTTCTATAACAAATAAAGGACACGATGAAGATTTTATTCCGACTTTATAGCCCCAGTTGGATATTGAAGTTGATCCCCCTAGCACCAATAAAGAAAGCCTCCAAGATTAGTCCTTCCCTGTGGTTTTATTTCATAGAGACATCACAGTGCTGAGACCCTCCCGCCGAACCAACCCTATCTGTTTCAGCGTCAGGTTTTATTGGCTAATTATTATCTCTTATCCTAGTTGCATCAAAGTTTAGAGTCATTAAAATTACTTCTCTGCCACCCGTAATGAAATAAAGGATGAGAGTATTCCAAAATATTCAAATTCTGGGTAATTTCGATAGGAAAATTATTCTGACAAACAATTCTGTTTGACACTTAGATATGATATGTTGCACAAACAGAAAAAAATACAAAAGGAGATATAATTTCTGTTTGGCGTTCTGTGCAGCTGCACTTGATGTACAATGTATAGCCTGTTTTATCCAATCAAGTAAAACTTTATTTTTTCACTTTATTCATTCAAAGAAAACTCAGAATGGTTCTCTTTATGTTTTACTCATTCATTGAAAATTATATTGAATCAATTTATACTTTATTTTCAAGGATAACCCCGAATAGGCGACTTTGAGCTTTTTAAAAGCAACTTTAGAATGGTTGCAGTTGTTTTTCTTTGCAGCTTTTAGATCCCTTTAATTGGTATGTTGCTTTGTGAAGTATTCCAAAAATAACATTTTATTACCGATAATCGCAAAATGTATTTTTTTTTTACATCATGATTACCGTTAATGGTCATCAGTAAAATGGTACAAATTCTAAAAGACGCCGTGATGTCATTAATAATTAGAATTTACCTGTATTTTATAATTTTGAAAGTTCAGCCTTATTTCGACTCTTAATTGAAATTCACAAAAACTATTAGCCAAATATTTTTTTTTATATTGATATGTTATATTGTAAGAAAAGTCCTTCTGAAAATATAATGATAATAATAAGGTAATTAAAATTCCCTTCCGTAAGTAATCAACAAGGGTAAACTGTATTTGGCATAACATCAGCAACAGTGAGGAATATGTGGCAAGAATTCCGCTTATGATCTCAATTGTGAGAAATGTTTGAGGAGAAAATTGAATTTCAAATAGTAAATTACATCTTTCATCTGGAATGGTTTCAATGAAAGAAAGAGAAGAATAGTACTAATTGTGCACCATATTCGTCGAAGAGAGTGAGGAGCATGATATGCAAACTAATTATCGACATCATTATATTTAGTGCATCTGAGATCGAGTTCGAAAAGGAAACGTGTCCCACTTAGAAATGTTCCACAGAAAGTCAATTTGTACAAGTCTGTTAATTTACCTGCTCACCAGCTCGCTTTCCAGCAATCAGTAATTAAGTTTGTTAACATTTGACACCTTTAATGATCGGCTACCCGATAACCAGCGATTGTAGACACATTAACAGACTAGGATAATTATAGGTTCAGAGGAAGAGGAAGCAGGGCGTCTGACAGGCAGATTTCTAATTATCACAGTGGCGCTGGTCAACTCATTCATCAATACATTTCCACCAACCCGGAGAATACCGAAGGACTGAAACTGACCATCGTTACGAAATCAAATTGACCTCGTGTCAAAGTTAGAAGAATACAACGGCGGAGCTTGACATACCCTAGGCCCGCATTTCAAAATATTTCATTGAGAAAGTGGCATTTAAATTTGATATATGATTCTGAAAACTGGTTATTGAGCAAGATTTATAACCTGTCGGAGTGTTTAGGAGAATTATTTGTATCTTAATGAGATAGGACAACTACAGACACCAGGAATGGACTTCATACTGATTCATACCCGGCTTACAATTCCAGTAAATTGTTACACAACGGCCCAAACAGGAGCATCGGTATAAAGATTGAAAAAGTATTTTTCCAAAGTATCAATTTTTAACAATGTTGTCTTATTTAGAGAGAAAAAAAAATAAAAGAAAGGATCGTGATATGAACAGGAAAGAAATCATATTGAAAAAGAACTATAATATTAAAGATATCATGCTTTTATTTTCATGTACATGTAATTTACCCTGAATTTAGGAAAAGTAATCAAACTACATGTATTTGGAACTTTTTTCACTTTGATACTTCAATTTTTCTTTATTTGCAGGCCCGATAAGATATTCCCTTGATAAGCTTACTGTTATCAGGGAAATGAATAAATAACTAGGCCGGCGAGGCGGACAGGCCGCTCTTTTCACGGTGCCATTGTTTGGGTGACATGCTTTGGATCATTAATTCTGTGCTCTTTATAGACTGCTGCTTGCATATGCAGATGCTTTGCTAATTATAAAGATAGAATCTCTATATTTATTCAAATATTGTCTAGTTTTAATGAACAAATGCGCGAACATCCAATGAAAATTCATGGTCAACAAAGTTTATAGTAAAAGTTTAATACAGTACATTTCAAAATTGTTTTACGTTATTTTTTCT